CAGGGGGCTCTAGGCAGGGGGTTGGGGTGCAGGAGGGGTGAGGGGTGCAGGGTGTGGCGGGGGGTCAGGGGAGGGAGTTGGGTGCAGGAGGGGTGTGGGATGTGGCAGGGGGCTCCAAGCAGGGGGTTGGGGTGCAGAAGGGGTGCGGGCTCCAGCCCGGCACCACTTATCTAGAGTGGGGTGGCAGCGCCGTGCCCCACGGCCAGGGCAGGCTCCCTGCCTGCCTGCCCTGTCCCCGCTCCGATCCAGAAAGCAGCCGGAGTCCCTGGGCGGGGGGGGAATGGTTCCATGTGCTGCTCTTGCTGCTCCTCCAGGTACCTCCCCCAAAGCTCCCATTGGCTGCGGTTCCCAGTTCCCGGCCAATGGGAACTGCAAGAGCACAGAGCCCTCTACTTGCCTCCCACCCCCCTGCTCAGGACTGCAAGGACATACAGTAGTTCAGCTGCTTCAGGGAGCAGCGCGGGGCTTGCGGCGACACGGGGTGGGCAGGGGGTGGGGAGCACAGGGAGCTTGGCGGTCTGCACGAAAGAGCCCCACGGGCCGCATGCGGCCCGCGGGCCGCGTGTTTGAGACCCCTGGCTTAGACTAACTGCTGAATTTGACGCAAGTCTTTAAATCAGTGCACTAAATTTATAGTGAGGATGTGGTTCCTGGTCTTCAATGTATTATGTATAAAGATCCTTTATAAATAGGCTTGGCAGAATTAGATTTTTTTTTAAATAATTTTGATGGATAATCTTTTTAGGCTTTTTTATTTTTATCAATTTAAATTTTCACAGTTGTGGGAAGTTATGGGGAGGTCAGACAATAATTATTTAATGACAGTAGACATAAAATTAAAAAAGTTAATGCTTTATACTTGTTAAAACAGAAACTGTTAACATCACATGTCAAAATATACCAAGTAACTATCCTTAAATCAAACTCTAATAAGTTCTCAAGCACCATTATTCTTATTTTGCCTATCTGTACATTTGTGTTATGATGGATGGAAATATTTTTTCATTGGTTTGTGTATGGTGAAATTGAAGTTTACTAACATTTACAAATAAAAATGTAATCCTTCAAAACCTATTTATAAACATCTCTAACAAGATGTCTGTAAAATTAACAACAGTAGAATCAGCAGCTGCATCCATCCATCTGCTCTTGCATATGTTTTTTCTTTTTAAAGGCAAGTACATGAGATGAATTTTCTGGCTTCCACACAGAATCACTGCAGCTCATGACTTGAGGGCTTTCTACACAGTAATTAAATACCCCGTATCAGCTGGCCCATGTCAGCTGACTCGGGCTGCAGGGCTAGATGTTCCGGCAGCTCTGGGACCATATGATGGGTCCAAGCCCGAATGTCTACACTGCAATTTTACAGCCCCCGAGCCCAAGCCCTGTGAGCCTGAGTCAGCTGACAGGGGCCAGCCACAGGCATTTAATTGCTGTGTAGACATACC